CCGACGCCTCCACTCTCGTTCTCTGCCTCTTGCAAGTGACCACGGCCTTTACGATAAAGAGGGTACCATATCTGGATGTTGTCATGGCGATCGGTGAGCCATGTCCCGGTGTAAGGATTCCGCCTTCAAGGTACTCTGGAATATTAGAGCTTCATATCGGGGGACTTGTCGAATGTGTCGAGGAGATGCCGTTTTAGTCTGCCCCTCAACTCATCATCTCCTCACCTCTTCTCCTCATTGGCAGTCGCGACGGGACTCGAATGAAGATTGCCGCAGAGGTTTGTGCCAAGAAGTCCTCTGCTCCAATGAACCCGTGTTAAGTTTTCGTCTGTACCGCCCTGGCAGACATCATCAGAGCAAGATTCAACATTGCAAAACAGGGTAAAAATATAAGAAACGAAGAGAAAGGGGCTCTGATGATGTCTGTCATGGGGATGCAGACGAAAGCCTAGCACAGGTTCATCGGGATGACAACACGGTGAGCTGAGGAGTCTCCGGAACAATGGAAAAGTCTTCACTACGACACGGCCCTCCTTCGGTTTCCGGTGGAATTAATTCACGAATTCCTTCCAACCAATTATTCCTTTGAAAAGAATTCTCATGTCACAATAAATCACTGAATAATTCTTCAAAACCCACTTTTTTCACGCTAGGGGTGCATCGGTCACAGGAGACGGCGAACCGGGGACTACTTCGCAGACGACAGGAGTCACAACTTCAAGACCAAGTTGCGAATCCCTTTCGTCGAAATGGGGGCCTGGAACCCAATATTTAGTTCCATCCCTCGGATCGATTGAGACTCACTGACACCAGCTCGAGCCTCTCATCACTACTTTCACATGCCATCTGCGGCTTTTACACTGCGCCATTCTTCTAAGCACACCATCGTTGCTCGCCACTCGAGGTGAGCACACATCGTAAGCACACAAAAAACGGCATCACAGGATTAAGGCATCTTCTCAAAATGAGCACACACTCTACTGTCTCGTTCCAATTTAGGCAAGTCCCAGTCATCGGAGTGTAGAAATACTGGGTTTCGAAGAATCCCTAAGTTGATTGATTACATTTCGTTAGGGGGAATTTCCGTTCGCAGGAAAGTGAATGAAGAAGAGATTCGTTGCTTGATCTCACTGGAAGAGGACAGATGAATCTCGTTGTACTGCAGCCGTTTGGCTTTTATACAATATTCATTTGGACGCAGTCCACGAGACTTCCTCCCTGGTTTCGGGTGAAAATGTGCTGAGCTTTCTTTCATCATTTGATGGACATCATCAGAGCTGGGTTTGATTCTTGCAAGAGTCTCACGTCAACACCAAGCCAAGAACACTATCCAGCTCTATCTTACTTCTTATGTAGACTCAATTGATCCAAATGGAAATTAAAAACCAAGATAGATCGATATAGAATGGTTCAGTTAACTTTCTTACATACTGGTCCTGTTACTTTTGCTCGATTGTATGAGCATGTGTATTTGTGCGTGTTAGCGTCTATATGCAATACGTTTCCTAAATCAGAGTTGTCAAAATTTTAATTTCAGGTTCTGATCCTTAAGACCTAATTACCAAAGAAAAAGCCTCGACTGAGACTGCGTAGGTCCGTAAACAAGTGTGGTTAAGATAATGAGATATGAGCTTGTAAGTATGAAAATCAAGTCACGAAACCACTTGTTCTAGCCTTTGAGTCTAGGGTCATTAACGTTTAACCCTCCAAGAAAAGGCACGACTGGGGTTGAGTAATCTGACATGTCTGGTTTGGTTGATGAGCTTGCTCTAACATGTTGGCCGAATGTGAGTTAAGTTAGAACCATCACCGAGCAGACAAATTGAGTCGGTTTCTTTTTGACGGCGGCTCAACACTCTCCCTCTCCTTCAATCTATCAATCAAGCATAAGTAGTTCCTACTCAACTTTCTACCACCGTTCCTCACATTCAACATATTTCCTGAGCTATTAATTGCAATAGCCTCTCTTATCTTTCTTTTAACCACAGACGTACAATAATCTGCAAACTTACTAGTTTGAGACCAGTTTCTACCATGTGTTCGGCCACTTTTGACCGTTAGATCCAACTACCTTTGGAAGCATTTTTGTGTTCCCCCAATCTTTGTCGAATAGGTCGGAATTTCTCACCAACATAACATCGACCACATGAGCAAACAATCTTGTACCAGCCGGATCTCGAGAATGGGTCATATTTATCTCTAAAAGATGGCATAACAAAGGGTGTGAGGGTTTATTTGACGACTGTTTTTATGCCCCACTTCTTTACTAATTCGTCTATCTTTTTTGAGAGAAGACATTATGGCAAAATTAGGACATGTGAAAAGGTCTCAGTCTGTCTACCCTTGACTAAATCGTGTCAATCGGAAAATTTATTCCTCAGTATAGAGATATTATTCTCAATAAGGCCTAAAGGATAATTATTTTCCAGGAATATATTAGTCAGCCGTTGCAACTCTTTAGTCAAATGCTTGCTATCTGCTAGCCTCAATGATTCTTAGAAGTATGAACTGCAGTTTCAACTTCGTCAGAGTCGTATAAGCCAACCACAACTGGAATCAAAACCAAGTTGTGGTAGTGCAGCGTATAATCTCGACATGTTGACACTCAGCCAGAGATCCAAGAGTGCCAGTCAGTCCCAGAGCATAAGTGCATTTTAAAACAATTTAGGCCTATCCAATGTCATATTCTCTAGTAGGATTATTTCTGAAGCAAACATGTCGGCAACGTTACATACAATCGAACTGAGTAGGATTTTGCTGCTATTTAGCCTGCTTTGAAATTAAATTATGCTTTATCGCCGACTAATACTAGTGGCGCTCCCGGGTTCGATTCCCGTTGGAGGTGCTGATGAGACCTAGACGAGGTCAGAAATGCAGGCAGATCTAGCCTGGATGAAAAAACATTTTTGGGAGAAAAGTCCAGATTACATTCAATGGCATTGTAAGGCCTACCCATCTGCTTTTAGGAAAACTCAATTATCATCACCTTAAATGACCAAGAGCGGCTAAAAGGAATGGACGTCAAGACGTCAAAATTTTCAGCACTCATATTTAAGGATTTCCTGCACCATGACGATTTTAGCGGGCTTCTGTTTCTATCAATCATAAACGACAACATCACCTGACATTCAGAGATTTCGTCAACTTGTTAAGGACTGATTGATTCTGTACATTGTTCTGGAAACTTTCATTTCGTATGGAAGTGAATGAAGGAGAGGTTCGTAGGTCGATCTCATCAGATAAGGACGGATAAATCTCTTAATAATGTAGCAGTTTGGCTTTTATATGATATTCATGTTGACGCAGTCCACAAGACTTCCTCCCTCGTTTCGGGTGAAAACGTGCTGAGCTTTCGTCCATCAATTGATAGACATCCTCAGAGCTGGGACTCATTCTTGTAAACTTCTCTCGTTAACACCAGGCCAAGAATACTATCCGGCTCTATCTTACCTTTTATATAGATTGCATTAAGCAAAAGAAATTAAAAGATATAGTTAGATATAAAATAGTTTGGACAATTATCTTTCACGTTGGCCTTGTTACTTTTGCTCAAGTGTATGTATGTGTTTACTTGTATATGAAATAAAGGTTCTAAATCAGAGTGATAAAAAAACGGGATTCAGCTGTCCTCTTCTAGTGAAAGTGACCTTCGAATCTCTTTTTTTATGCACTCTCAAACGAAATGATAGTCTCCCCAGCAAGGTTATCTCAGGAGATTTATCGTAACCCAGTTACTCTTCGTATCTGAATCAGTACATTTTACCAAGCCTTCCCTCCCTAAAGTTCATCTCATCCAGGCTGTACTGGAGTTCGATTTCGACTTCATCAAGGACTCAGCAGCAGCCCAAATGGGTTTCGATACCGGGTCATGAGTATCGTGGCGAACTTAACACTTCATTGCACATTCACGAGTGTCAGTGGCCTTTCGCAATTCCCATTTAATGTGTAATGTGGGAAAGCTCAGCTATTAATAATTGCTGATAACTTCGAAGTATACTTATACTATAAATAGGTAAAGTCGTCAATTGCAATAGAAAATTCATGTTTATTTAATCGAAAATCCCAACATAAATGTGATTTAGGAAG